GGCAGGAGCATCAGAGCCCACTCCATACGTGGGTGCAGGCGCTGTGCTCTGAAACAAAGCTTGGTCTTGTCGCAGGCCTCTCGGCCTTCACGGTGGCTGTGCCCAGACCACTAGGAGCCGGGAATTAAATACCCTCGGATCCACTGGTCTACCATTAATGTCATCATCTTCATCAAATGCTTCCTCTTGCAGCGGTGTCTGCAGAGAAATAAATAAATAGAGCTCCTCCACATCTTGTTCCTGCCCAGGATCCCGAGGCTGAAGTCCGGTCTGAGTTGAATTATCCGGAGCGCTGTCTCCTTCCTTCCCTCATTGTTCCCCGAGCTCTGGGCAGGAACAGAGAGTGAACTCTCTCCAGGACATTACGTCAGTTCCCCCTTGGCATGAAAATGCTTCCACCCCTAGCCCTCCCTGACTTCCTAAGGCTTGCCCCAACTGCACACACACACCCCAGCCTTGAAGCCAGGACATCAAAGAGAACCTGCAGGTAACCCGATTATTGACCAACGCCTGCGTCTGTTCTGTAATTTAGAAGACAGGAAATGGGTTCCGGAAATGGGATTTTTTTTCTTCTAGTACACGGTCTCCATGATCTTGTTAAACCTTAGTAATCTTTTAAGTAAGGAGAGCCATCTTGTAAGCAAAGAGAGATATTTAGAAAATTTTTGGAAGTTAGGATGAAACTGACCTTACTTTTTAGTAATCACACTCTGGGAAAAAAAAAAAACATAAATTTCTTTATGGGTGGCAGAATTTAGGACCTTTTTAGCTATGAAAAGAATATATACCTTGTCACCAAAAATTACTTCTGTCATAAGATTATTAAATCTTAGACATTAAGATTTAATTACACATAAGATAACACGATTGAGTCAGTACCAGAAGTAAAGTGAGGCAAATGGTGCATACCATTCCAACCTGTATCTGGGCAAGATTTGCCAGGACTTCAAAAAGAAACATTTAGATGGACATAGTAGCTCATGTCTATAATCCCAGTGCTTGTAGGGCAGAGACAAGAGGATTGCTTTGAGTTTGGACTGCTGCAGTGTAAGACCCTATCTGTCAAAGAAAAAACCAGGCAGTGGAGGCACATGCCATTAATGCCAGCAGTAGGTAGGCAGGAGCAGGTGGATCTCTGTGAGTTCAAGCCCAGCCTGGACTACAGAGGATGTTTCAGGACAGCCAGGGCTACACAGAGAAACCCTGTCTCAGAAAGAGGAAGAAAGAAAAAAGAAAGGAAGGAAAGAAAAGAACAACACTTTTATAATAGAAACTATCAAATCCCTACAGAAAGGTAGAGAGGACCCTGTAAAAAAGCAGCCTGTGCCGACAGCCACCATCGAGAATCAGTCACCACCAGACTGTTTCCCCCATACCTCACCTGGCTCTTCGCCTCCCAGTGTGTCATATCCCCCATAAGTACTTCTGGATAGGCCCAAAAAGATAAAGCCCATTTATATAATCAGAATGATCCCAGGGCCTCAGCTCAACCCCAGTAGCTCCTCCGCACACCATTTCAGTGATCCCCCGGCTGGAAAATGTTGTATACAAGTGTGAAGCAACCTCTAAGAAGGGGCCTCAAGATTGCTAGTGGCTGGTGGATCTCCCTCTTTAGAGCAGGTAGTCATAATGTAACAACCGCATAATGTCTGTTGGCTGCCTTTGACTGTCCTTTATAAGAGGCTTGGATACAAAGTTTAGATTTGGGTTACTTTTTTTTTTAAGTTGGTTGTTTTTTGTTTTTCCAGATTTTGGAGTGTTTTACTTACAGCGGGACAGGTTGGTGATGAGACCCAGGTGTAAACATGAAATCTATTTGTACTTCATACACACACTACTCGTGTAGCCTGAAGGAAATTTGATAGAATATTTTTCAGTTGTTTTGTTGATGAAACAAATTTCAATGATGCAGCATTTTCCACGGGTGGCATTTTGTAGTCCCACTCAGCAAGTTTCAGATTCTGGAGGGTTTGGATGAAGAATCTTATGGTTCTTCTGATCTTTTCTCCGGCCGCCACCATGTTGCATTCAAGATTTCTACCACACACAGCACTGATTTTTGAGACAGGATCAGGCTTAAGTTCACTGTCTAGTCCAAGCTGGCTTTAAACTGCTGGCAGTCCTCCTGCCTCAGCTTCCCAAGTGATAACATGACAGGCATACACCTCCACACCCTGCACAGACTGTCTCTCTTCTCATGACTTTCAACGGTTTTGCTGTCAAGCGCCGGGGTGTGATTTCCATTGTGTATAAGAAGCTTGGGTTTTGCTGAGCTTCTGGAGTTTCCTAGTTTGTTTTTGACATTGCAGCTCTTGTCACTTCAATTTGGCCATTATTTCTTCCCCGTCCCCTCCCACCCGTTCTTTCTGTACTCTAGGCGTGTTTGGCTGCTTGATGTTGTGATTTGTGGTTAATTTTATTAAGTCTCTAATCCTTTCCTCTCATCTCCAGTATGCCAGGAAGTCTGTCTAGTCTCCTCTTACATTTCATATAATGTGATTTTTGGTTCTAGAATCTTCATTCTTCTTTCCCAGGTTTCAGCTTTCTGTTTGACAGTTCCTGTATGTCATTACTCACTGTGACTGATGTCCCTGGAATACTTTATAGCTACCTTAAGTTCCTTTAAAGTCTCTTTAGCTGATCCCATCAGAGTCGCAGAATCTGTTTCTGTTGGTGGCTCTTTAATAATAGATCGTGTCTTCTAAGTCTAGAAAAAAAAAACGTGTTGATACAGAAGTTTATAGACTGTAGAGTCTTTGGGTTTCGTTGTATTCCTCTGAAGAGCATAGACTCATAGTCTTTCCGGCGGCAGTCAATTTAGTAGCCAGTCACTTCCAGTGTGTGGAGGCCAATTTTCATTTCGCTGCAGCAAGTCTACCTCAGTTTTGCCTTTAGCTCTCAGCAAGGCTCCTTTGTTCTGTAGCACAGGATCTGCCACACTAACACGCGGCCATGCTTGGTTAAAGGACAGCCTGGGGTGTTGATGGAGCCGTTAGCTTAATGAGACTCATTCTCTGACCTGCTTCTCCACTCGAGTGGTCAGGAGCTGAGACCTCTCATAATTTCCAGCCCCACAGCCATGGCTTTTGAGTCTCCCCTGTGTGTGTGTGTGTGTGTGTGTGTGTGTGTGTGTGTGTATTGTTCAGGAGTCAGGCAAGAACTTGAGAGAACATTGGTGTGCTGGGTTAGTAGCTCTTCTCTCTGGCACTCAGCCCTTGATGAGGCTTCCACACGTTCCTGCCATCTGGGCATCCACTTGTGTCCTGGAAGCTCACATGGCTTTCCCTTGTGCTGCACTGATGAGGGTACTCTTGTGGGAAAACTTCCCAGACCTTGTTCTATGAAGAGTAAAGACCCTCGTGTTTTTGTCTACTTGGGGTCACTGTCCAATATCTTTACATGGCTTTTTTGAGTGTCTTATATTCAGTTTCTATAAAGTATGACCGTAGGAGATTTAGTCTGAGGGATCCACTGCCATTATTGCTACTGGAACCTCTCTTCCTCTTGACAGATGAACGGTGGCAGGTTTTAAATCCTTCACTATCCCTTTTATATCTGACCATAGTGCCTGAATATTGGTCTTCAGCAAAGTATTGAGCTGTCTCTCATTCCTTTTCCCAGTTGATTAGTACCCTGCTGTTTAGTGATTTAGATTATTAAACAAGTGTCCTATGATATTTTCCCCAATGAGTAAGGGTTTTTAGAATTTATGGCCACAGATCATACAATAGTCATGAAACAGATACTTTCCCTTCCTCTGACTCTGGTGAGCCACAGTCAGTGTTTCTTTTGTTCACTATCTCACAGGATTAGAGAGATATAGTAGGATTTTTTTAAAGAAAAAAATACTCCATTTTTGTGCCAACCCAGTATAAGCTTCAAGGGAACCCCACCTCTTTCTGTGACTGCTGACCCTGGTAGAGGCCCAGTTCCCCTTTTCAGGTTCGTCAAATAGCCAAAGGTGAAATCTTTGGCATTGTTTTGACACTTAGAACTGTGGATAAGTGTGTGACCAGAGTAGAGATCGGCTGAAGTGTTCATTCTGCTGAGACTGTCCCAGTAACACACGTGGCCAGAGTACCCCATGAAGAGAGACGTGAGCTCTTAGGTTTTTATGGGCAGATACCTGGCCTGAGCTCTAGCGGGGGAACCCAAATCACCTGTGAGTTGGTCCATGCTCAGCCCTTCCGGTGTTGCCCTCAGCAGCGGTACATCCAAGTTCAAAGGAGAGTGTTTGTTGTTGGGGTGCCTGTGTACCCCATCCTTCCTCCTTGCCTCTACTAACTCTGAGCCCATGTAAGATCAGTGCGTTCAAGGGCAAGCTTCTAAAAACTCTCTCAAGTACAAAATCACCCTTCACTAAAACAGGAATTGTTGCTGTTGAGAGCAGGTTTCTGGATGATTTTGTGCCCTGGGGTCTCTGTGGCACAAAGCGCTGTAACACATGCAGATTGTAGACTCTGATTCTAATCCTTTACCCATTGGTAGCATGGCGTGGGGTAAGTTGCCTGTGACTCGGTTTTATCGTCTGTAAAACAGGAATAATAGTGTATCTCCCTCTTAAGAATGCTCAAGTTTTAAATAATCAAATCCAGTACCTAGAACAGAGTCACCAGCAATCGTCATTGTTATCAGCAGTAGCACACCTGGAGATGGAGAAGGTGGAAATGTAAGCTCACCAGAGCCCTGGAGAGGGAAGCTTCAGAACCCCTCCATCTGAAACAAGCACAGAGGTCGAGCGAGGACGAGACACAGAAGGGAATGGGGTTCCTTCTGGTTATCGGGCACTAACAGATGCTGGATGGAATGTCGAAGGGCATTCCTAGCTTGTCTGGGGTAGGAAAGCCATTTCAAGTATGTTTTGTTTGAGCACAGGGAGAGTCCCGGGAGTCTGGGTCGGAGGCGCTCCGTGCACCCCTACAGCAGCCCAGAGAGCAATTGTGAAGTCCCAGGACTGCAGGTTTACCGCCATCTGTGATTGTCTTTTCTTTTGCCTACAGATAACTGTGTCCAGAGGACGCCCAGGCCGCCTGCAGAGAGTGTGCACCACAACCCTCCCACCATTGAACTCTTACATCGCCCTAGGTCACCCATCACCACAAACCACAGGCCTTCTCCTGACCCCGAGCAGCGGCCCCTGAGGTCCCCTCTGGACAACATGATCCGCCGCCTCTCACCAGCTGAGAGGGCCCAAGGGCCAAGGCTCCAGCAGGAAAATAACCACCAGGAGTCCTACCCCCTGTCAGTCTCTCCTATGGAGAATAATCACTGCCCAGCATCCTCGGAGTCCAACCCGAAGCCCTCCAGCCCCTGGCAGGAGAGCACACGAGTGATCCAGCTGATGCCCAGTCCCATCATGCACCCTTTGATCCTGAACCCCCGGCACTCAGTAGATTTCAAACAGTCCCGGCTCTCCGAAGATGGGATGCATAGGGAAGGGAAGCCCATCAACCTGTCTCATCGGGAGGACCTGGCTTACATGAACCACATCATGGTCTCTGTGTCCCCGCCTGAAGAGCACGCCATGCCCATCGGGAGAATAGCAGGTGAGTGAGTTTGGCCCCCTCACAGCCAGCCCTTTGCCTAGTGGCAGAAGCCAGGTCACACTGCGCCCAGTGCAATGTGCCTGCAAAGGTTTGGGGAGGACAAGGGAGGCTTCTGCTCGCATGAGACAGAGTCCCTAATGGCCTGCTTAATGAACCACTGGGAAGAGAGGAGTTAATGAGCCTCAGAAATGTTAAGGAATGAATGTCCTCCATCCAGATCTCAAGGAGAGTCACCTCAAATCACGGCCAAGCGAAGAAAACATTTAAAATCAAAGGTTTATGAGTGCTCTAATGGCCCCATCCTGAAGTTTCCAGGTGCTAATTAATGACCAGACACTTTGTCTCAGATTCGTGCCTGTAATTCTGTCCTGTGGGCAGCTCCTCAGTGCTGCTTTCCCCTGGGGAAAGGAGGTGAAATTGGGATTGGGGTATTAGGCAGGTGTTGCTAGTGGTTCAGATAGAGCAAACCCACTCCCACATTCTTTTTCAGCGAAGTTAGAAAAACCCAAATGGCTCTCCTAACAAGAAACCAAGGAGGGTGGGTGAGAATCTACCAATGAGAATTCTGCTAGCCTGCCCCCAGTTTTCATGGAGTTGTCCACGTCCACGAGGCCTGTGCAAGTTTGGCAAGGTCAAGTCTTTTCCTGGAGGTTGTTTCTCCATTCATGAGACATCACGGGGTACCTGCACATACAGATGAATGCATCCCGTGTACCGTCCACAACACTGATTTAACACACAGCGTCCTCTCCCTTGTAGAATTGCACACACGCAAGAAAATGGGTACTGAAAGTGTGGCTCAGTAGTGGAACGCATGTCCAGCGTGCATAACGCCCCAAGGTTTGATCGTCAGAACCACAGCAGCAACAGTAAAACGGCAGCTGTCTATGACTTGCTTGCCTTAAAGAAGCTATGAAACTTGGAGTGTGCTTGGGATTGAATTCCAAATGGTCCTATGAGTTTAGTGATGGGGGGGCGTGTAGGACCTGCTGTACAATGGGGCTAGCCATGAGCTGTTTGGTGGTTAGGTGGGGGAGTGGAGGCATGGGGGTTCGTGTCGTTTTTCTGCTTACACATGAGGTTTGCTTGCTTTAATAATGAAGAAACTATAGGATGGGTGGTCAGGGGCAAAAAAAAAAAAAAAAAAGGAGGGGGTCTTCTAGAAACATGCATTTTCCCAGACAAACTGGAGGAAAAGGATGAGGCGAGAGCTGATGAAGGATGGAAACGGCCTTAGCTGCATCCTCTCTTGGTTCCTTCCCTACCCGGGGTTCTCAGATCCCGTCGCTTGTGTACAATTCTCGGGACAGCCCTTTTGAGGTTGAATCCCTTTGGCATACATGGTTCATTGGTACAGAGGAAACCACAAAGCAGATCCAGCTCCAAAGAGACCAAGGCTCTCCCCAAGGTCAGAGGAGGGTTGGGTAGCCTTGCTGTCCCTTGGCTGTCATCTGCAGTGCTGTCCTTGAGGGCCTGGCTGCCTTGTCGAGGTTTGGTATGTTTGTTTATATCTCACCACAGACTTCTTGAGAATCCGAAGATAAGCATATAAGTCCAGAAAGAGGATGTGCGTGAGAGAAGGGAGAGAGGAAGGGAGGGAGGGGTGAGAAAATTGTTCAGACATACATAGCGTCTTCCCTTGTAAGCTGCACACCTGTTTTGTTGAATCCTACCACCGCTTTTAGGACCATATAGTCAAACATCAGTGGTATGATGAATATAGGCTCACCAGTTAAGATGCAACTGGAGATACCAGTAAGTGATTTTAGTCAGTCTCACAAAGGCAGAGGATCATCTTATCTCGCATTTGTGGGTCTTCAATCTCATGTAGATATTTAAACTCATATAGGCACAGGTGTGAAAATATAAGAAACTATGTAGGGTGGTAGCAAACGAAATGAACAGGAAGGGAGGGGGAAGAAAGGGGAGGCAGCAGGTATGGTGGACTATGCTCAATTACATTATATACTTGCACAAAAGTGGCCTTGTGCTACCTGGTGTAATACAAATAAAGCCCCGTGGAATATTCGGTCAAGTGATAAACCTTGGTATCCGCAGAGACTTTGTCTTGAGGACACTTAGAAAGACCTGGTTTCTGTTTTTCCTTGACTCTAGGAAGACAGAATGTTCTAGAAGATAATCTTAGGTAGGAGCAGATCTTCCAGGGACAATGCATTCTTTCCTACAGATGACTGATTGAGTCCCATACAAATGTATATTAATATTCTTATGATCTTTGTAAATATTGTAAAATCTCTAAATATGTACATTACGTACCGTACCCAAATTGCAGATGAGCCACTTTAACTGACAGGCATTGCTCTTGCAGGGATGAAATGCCAGGGTGGGGTTGGGTGGGCACTGAGGTCCTGTTCTGCAAGTCCACAATCTGATACTGAGTCTTGGTTCTGCAGAGATGACGGACAACCCCACACTCCTCTGCCCATTTGTAGGATCCCCCTACCTGTGTCCCCCATCCTTCTATCTTCCTGGGCTCCTAAGAGCTTAGTAAAAGAGATTCCGTTTGTTGAAGGTCAAATTCTGTGAGTCACTGCTGTTTCTGCTGTAAGGCCTGTCTACTGAGCACCAGAGACGCCTTTACAGACGCTCTGTAAACCTGCTGTTAGATGAGAAAAGGTAGCTCCTTGAAGCCCTTTAATTGAGCACAGCACAGGAAGAGATGAAAGTGCTGCCAAATGTCACACTGATGAGTAACTTAGCTGGAGGGTGTAGACAGAAACACTACTTAGCAGTGTGGAGCAAAACACAAGCCCAGATTCTTACCATTCAGATATGATTGGCTTGGGTATGGGAGGATTTAGGCCTTCAGACAGGTAAGAGGGCTGTGTGCTGCACTCTTGCGGGGTGGGAGTTCACAGAGGCAAAAGACTCAGTCTTTGACATAAGAGAGCTGAGCACAGTTCACTAAAAGTAAAGATTGTGAGGCACACAGGTCTTATGACTCCTACTGAGCACCACAGGAGGCCCGGACTGCCTTTCAGATGGGCTTTAAAGAGTACTCAACTGGGCAGGGTGTGGGAAATCTGCCTTTAATCCCAGCACTTGGGAGGCAGAGGCAGGCAGATCTCTGTGGGTTCAAGGCCAGCCTGGTTAACATAGCAAGACCTTGTCTCAAAATACAATTTTTAAATAAATAAATAACAATACTGCTTAGACTGTGGGGAATAAAGAGAAAGGAGCCATTCTAGATGGAGAAAAGTCAGGACAAATACAAGATACAAAGCCCCGTGTTCTCTTCTATTTCTAGTAGAGATATGAGGCCAAGAGCTCAAGTCTGTGTGAGTCAATTAAAAAAAAAAATCATGTTTCATAAACTCTTCTGAAAAAAAAAAAAGGTGAATCATGCAAGTAAAAGACCACATAAGCTATGACAGTTTACCCTGGGTATTAACCATATAATAACATTTAGTAGGTGGTTGGCAGTTTAAATACAAGTTAAATCTATTTAAATATAATATGTTTTTTATTTTTATTTTGAAGATTATAAGAGGGCTTGTTATTAAGAGTTTGGGGTGCTGGAAAGGTACCTCAGAGATGGCATGTTTAGGTAACATGCACACGACCAGTTTAAGAAGCTGGAGAAATCGTGGTAGAACATTTCACAGGACAGATTCCTGGGTCCTGTTTTTATTGACCAGTCCGTGGTTTATATAACATTGGGCTTCTTTCTGTCCATATTTTCCGCTGTCATCAGGAAGGGTTTGGGGAGGGAAGTGGGAAGTCTCTGTCAATCTCCTCCAACTTTTACCCACATGCAGAAGAAGGCCTAGGGTGTGCTTCCCCCTCATCCCGCCCCAGTGAGTTTCAGAAGCACCGATGAGAATGACGTCGTGTGGTGCTGGGGGCTAAGTTCCCAGTGTGCACAGTAGCCCCCACCCTTTAGCTGCAGCTTCAGTTACATGAAACGGGAAATTCCAGAAGGCAGCTGTTTAAATAACTCACTATGAAGTGTCATTGCAGTTGTAATATTTTATTACTGATTGCTTTGTCAGTCTCGTGTATGTAATTTATAAATCCGACATCATCATAGGCATGCATAGATGGGAAAAATAATACTGTATGTCGTGTGTATTGACTCAGTCAGAACATGGTTTCCATGGTTTCCGGTACCCACTCCAGACCTGGGAAAGTGTCCTCTGCAAGTAAGCATCAGGCTTGGTGTTGGAGTCCCTTCTTAGGACTAGATGAGCTCACTAGAAATGACTTTCCAGGTAAACCTGAAGACGGAGCTCAGTCATAACAGCCTCAAGTCTGTTTTCCCATTCTACCCAGAGATTTCCCAGCACGGATCGGAAGCCTTGGCCAAATCCAGCCACCACCTGATTTTGTAAATAAGTTTATTGGGGACAGCTCCACTTTTGTTAAATGATTGTCTGTGTCTACTTTCAAACCATAGTTTGAACCAATTGAGTTGCTCCAGAGAGCCTATGGCCACAAAGTCTTAAATATCAACCAGTTGACCTGTGTTCCCCATCACTATTCCCATGAGCAGTCGTTATGCTGAGAACCTCAGACACATAGCATAGGCTGATGGAGCAGAGACCCGTGTCCCCCATCACTGTTCTCATGAAGAAGAGTCTGGAATGCTGAGAACCTCAGACATAGCATAGGCTGATGGAGCAGTCTTGCTGGCGAGGACTTACTTGCACTTGAGGTGATGAGGCGTGCCAGAGGCAAGTGCAAAGAGCAACAACTAAGGATGTCAGAGAGCAGACAAGTCCGGGTCTGCAGGCTGTGCTCCGAGAACAGTGCAGCACAATTGCAGTAGCGTCATCAACATAAAATAAAATACAGCTCAGTAACATAGAGTCTTTGTACATTTGAATTTGTAGTCCCACATTTGTTCATTTATTCAAAAATTATCCTGTCTTTTCTATGTGTAAGACATTGTTCTAGGTGAAAGACACAAGGTTGCTTTGGACTCCCGATCCTCCTACCTCAACCTCCTGAGAGTTGGAATTGCTGGTGGACACCATCAT